CTCGGCGTCGGTGCAGCTGGTGCCCGCGGAGGAGGACATCCCTTAGACAGGGGGACGTAGTACAAGAGGAATTCTCGATCACATCTTCGTCGGCCGATTCTGGCGTTCTCGCGTTCTTTCTTTTATCGCGGTTGTTGGTTCTCGATGGCAGGTGAAGCTCGATGATCGGTTAGATTCTATGCTGGTTGTGATTTGAGAGGAGACGCGTGCAGTCTTGCTGAAGGTCGAGGGTATACTCCTTAAGTGCTGCAACGAAAGAAAATTGAAAATAGTATTTTTGTAAAGTTGATTTTCTTCCAACATCTAACTCTTTCGGAATCGAATTATTTTCTAATTAGAAGAAAATTGCTTTTTGGCTTGAGATGCTTATGCAAGGGGGACATAATGCAGTAAGATTTTAACATCGAAAACAAACGCGTTCGTAATTAATTGACAACCAAATTGGACAGATATAAGTTTGTAGAAACTTTAAAGGTTCGTGAAATACACGTGACACGCAAAAATAGATAGAATATTCAAAGTACAATATTTAAAGAAATCATTGCGTAGGTTACATTTCTTTAGCCCTGGTAGTTTATGATACAAATTTGCATAAATATCCGCAGTCTATTAATAACTTATGAAAAGATAGTATTGCGTATACGCGTGGAAGAGTTGAAATGTTATAATTTTGTCGAAAAAGACGAGTCGAAGTACATGAATAAACAAGTATAAAACGATAAATCGTGAAAAATATCTTGATGCCTGAGCGTATTAATATTAAAGCACAAGCTATTTTTCTGGTCGAACGGGGACGCGGACGTGGAGCTGCCAACAGTGAAAGATAAAATTGCGTTTTCATGTCGCTGGCAATAAATCGCTGCGAGTTATCTTTATGGATCCGTGGAGTCGTATTTACTCGAAACAGCGGCCCACGAGAGGAGATCGTTGCCATGACGCGATTGGTCGCGTAACAGTGCCCGCGGACGTCCTCGGGATCCTTGAGCTTTCCGAAAGATGAGAATAATTGGGTTGGAAGCATTTGATTGACAATGAAATCCTGCGCACATGCTACGATGTTGTGTCGTGTTTTAACGCTTGTCATGCGTGGCACAAACGAAAAACGAAGATCCCCGGCTCCTGTCCTTTATTCTCGATCGATCAGACCCTGGGAATATGAGTAGATCATGCGAATAATTTGAAAATGATAGTAACACAGAGTGATGTGAAAGTAACTAAAATCTAAAGACTTGAAAGAAAATATTACTAAAATAACAAAAGAAGAAAAATTATTTGTAGTCTTGATTTATGCTTTTTCTAGTAACTATTGCAATGTATAGAATCTGTATGTAGAGGCGTAGACTTCATAGAAGTTACTAGGAAAAAAGAGAAAACAAAGTTTTTATTAAGTTTCAATTCCTTATCTTACAATTATTCATTCAGTAACTATTGAAACATATGTATGTATTCATATATACATTCAGTAACTATTGAAACATATATACACATACATATATAATTTGTATATAGGCGATAAAATTGTATTCAACACAATAAAAATTGTATTGCCTAAATATAATTTAAAAAATACAAATTTTATTTGTATGTTCAGTTTGAAAAACAGAAACTAAAGTCGGAATTAAACTTTATCAAACAGTATGATCCTTTCGATGAAAAAATTCTAATTCCTAACCTCACAAATTCCAATTTTACCGTATCAGACGACGAATCCTACCATTCCACATTACGTGGTAACAAAATACAGGGAAAATACGGTGTTTCCAATCGGAAAAAAGCTACGATACGTACCGTACGGTTCGATACTCTGGATCTCGGGAAGATCGGCCGTCGATTGCACTCGAAAACTCAACAACGGATTCAAAACAACACCAATCACGTTGCAAGCTTCACCGGTCTTCCGATCCGTAGGTTCCAATAACGCAACGTTTGTTTGCCATTGATTCCCAAGGCTAAAGCGTCTTTCGAATACAACCTCTTTCAAATCGATCCAACTTCCGAAATGCCACTGTTTCCAGGTTAGATAAAGTTAATCGAAAGAATCGCAGAAAATTGCTGCGATATCTTCGAATTATATCCAATCTTAGAAGTGTTGTTCTTCTCTTCCTAAATGCCAATTGGTGAATTCAATCGAACTCGATTTACTCTTTGTAATCGATAAACGATGTAAGCGCCACGAGTGATGATTTTCGGTAAGTGAAAACTGTGTTGATATAAAATTAACGCTTGTTCGATTTATTATAAATTATAGATCCCTCATATTGATCACATTATGTAAAATTTCCCTCATATTAATTGCAAGAGAAAAGCATGAAATTATAAATCATTCTACAAATTATGTTTGAAAGTGCAAATATTAATTCTAATATTGATGTATGTAATGAAAGAAGTTATGAACTTTCGAAATTCAATAAATAAATAACTAGATAAATAAACTGACACTTACGATTTTAACTGTAATAATTTGCAATAATTTTAGAAATTAAAGTGAATTATTCCATATATCACTTACAACATTTATGCTTTACTCGTCAATAGTTTCAACATAATTAAGTCTAGTATCGAGTATGGTATTTACAATAGCTTTCTTCTTCAAGACGTACACGATTTGCCATTTAAACTCTTCAATTACGTGGAATCGAGTCGCTTGGTAGCAGCTAATTTCCTTTGTTTTCACACGGAAATAGGTTTATATGATATCTGCGGCGTCAGCTTATCCACGTATCCTGTCTGCCATAATTATATAGTCGAGCTTGATATACTGTGACGTCACAAGCGTTTATCGATTACCTATCGACCATTATATCGACCATCTTAAACAACCTACTATTATGACTGATTTAATTTACAGGGTGCAGTCGAAAGAATTCTACAAACAGTAAAATACTGCTCACAAAAATATGTCGCGAGTTAAAAGTTACTAGCATTAATAAATTTTGTTTCCATAAAAGTAGTAAGTTTGATAATGAATCAAAAACTCACAAATGAATTTTACTAATTATATAATATATAAATTTTAATTTGACATGTCTTGTTCGACATAAATTTGTAACTTTTCGCGAAATATATAGAAGCCTATAACCTGTAATTATCACTTGTCAATTCACCGATACTATTAATTAATAATTAATTGTAGGAGAAGATCCAGATAATCAAGTTAAACGAACAGTTGAAAGAATAGAAAGAAATTTTTAAGAAAGTCGAATTCGATCATTCAGTCTGCACTAAAGTTTGAGGTTAAGAAGAACATTCACCCAGAACGAGAATAAACGACCACGGCCAGTTGGACTTGTGTTTTGAAAAAAGCTCTATTTCTGTGCATCGTCACTGAATTTCAAACAAAAGAGGAACAACTACAAAGTTTCCTGAAACATTTTTCCCTCCGCGCTATAGATATCGTTTAATCGCATCTCACACGTCTGCAAAAGCCGGGATGCTTGTCGATACTATCGATATTACGACATTTGATAGAGGCGATTTTTCTCAAAAACGAATCTGTGCTCGAACGTTTCCTTTAAATATTTTATGAACAACTATAAGACGTATCGAATGAAGCTTAGTATCTGGGGACGAGAATTCGAGCAGAATAGCGTTCAGTTCACTCAAGGGGAAGATTATTTTTCTTCTCTTAGCGTTGCACCAGTGCCAGATCCTGGCTCGTTCTCTCGCCGTCCTTTGTTTCTCTAGCCTAGCTGTCACTGGGGATTGCTCTTGATATCGATAGAACTCGTTGTCTAGTGTCGTCTTAAAATTACTCCTATGGTAACTTTTCGTACACTTTCATTTCCACCGTGTTTTTTTTATACCATCTTTTAAAAGCAATTCACGATATATTTTTTCAAAACAAGGAAAAACTCTTCTTTAATGACATCTTAGAAATAAATAATGTTTGTATATCAGTATTTTAAAGACGTTCTTTCTATAACTATTTTTGTTAAAAGGTTAGATAGATTTCACAGGCCGACTAAAGAAATTTTGACTTTTTGATTTTCATGTCACTTATTTACAATTAATGGCTAAAGTGGTTAGAAAGATAAAACTTTTTAAGTTCAAGAATAGGTTAAGTATGATCAACCGAAAGTATATCTAATATTGTGATAATGGGTATCTTTGAAGGATTTACTGTGGTACAAAAAAAAAGAGATATAATTTCACAACCAAATAGAATAAAATTTTTTAATTATTCGTCATGTTCTTTTCATATGATATACAAAAATTATATGAGATATAAATTATACGAATTATGTATATGAATTCTATGAATTTACATAAGAAACTGTTCACTTGGAAATGTGTCGTAATTCATTTGTTTTTAGTTACAGTTTAAAATGAATATAAAAGCTGGCCCTGAGCAAAGTACCAACAACGTTTGAGCGCTTTTGGATTCTTTCACACGGATAAAATTCAGATGCAATTGGAACAAACCAAACTCACACTGTCAAGGAGCATCGATGTTTGCGTGCTTGTTGAAAATACGTCGCATCAAAGGGCTAATTAACCACATGGAATTTAATTTTTCGTGAGCAGTGCCACTGGAGTATTGTACAAGAAACGAACTCGTTAATAGGATGCACGAATTACTGGTTAAAATATCTGTAGATACCATAAAATTTTACGCATGAACGAGCTTTAATTTTGCAAAACTTCAAAAATCCTGCTTTTCTATAATTCAATTTTCGAATTTAAATTCGAGAAAAAAAATCGATGATATTTGCCTAAAAAAAAGTTACGTTACATGTAAATTTAGAAAAAAAATGAAATTATTTGTAGTTAAGAAAATAGATTTATTTTTAGTTACAATAGAATTCAGTGACTGAGAAAAAATTCAATAAACAAGCCATTGAAGCACTGTAATGAGATATGAATATTGAAATTATATTGGTAAAATTTGAAGATGTATATAGAAATTTCAAGATATTTGTTATAGACATACACTTCATAGAAATGGCCAAAATATGTGAACAGTCAATTATTAATTATATTAGTAAACAACAATATACAGTTGAGCCGTCTTTAACATGAACCATATGTTTAAAATGTTATTTTTAATTAAATATATGTTTGAAATAAATATTTTCTAACTTTTATATACATCTTCAGATTTACTTCAAATGTTACCATTGTAATTATGACGCTTGTGCTTCATTACAGCACCAATGAAACGTCAAAATCTTTTGTATAATATATGAAAGTTTTCTATGGTAGTGTTCAAACACTTTCATATGTCATTATATTGGATTGTAACATAAATTCATTCTGTTTCTGTGTATGTAATGTATTGGATACATATGTTGTAACAAATGTAAAAACAAAATGAATTTATATAATTATAAAATATTATTTTTGTGCATGCGATACATGCAAGTGTCGTAAGAAATATAAGAACAGGACGAATTTATATTACAAGCCAATATTTCTTTCTTTCAGGCATGAGGGCTTCCGATGATTCAATGATGGACCAACACAGAAAGTTTCGAGGCATGACAATTGAATTAAAGCGTATAGATAAGACGGGTCGAAAGAGAACCACAAAATCTGCAAGTGAAATGAAGGGCACTGAATAAAATCAGGACGGAACAGTTCGTGCGGACCGGAAGTCGCAAGGGCATCCGCACTAGCAGAAAATTGGATCGCCAACGTCCACGAAAACCACCGAGAATTTTCATGGACTCGATTCGTTTTGGGATTGAAATTGTGATTCTGGAATTACAGGCTCTTTGAATGTATCACAACCTCGAATTCCTGTGGAATGTAAAATCGAAGAAATGTTCGAGAATTTCGCGCTATACTTGACATGAATACGAAGGTTATTACTCATAAGAGAAGATTAACGAAACTTGGTAGCGTATCAAATTTCTTAACGCATAAACTGGGTCGTCTCGCCTTTTTAACTTTCGTTAATGCAAATATCGAGATGTATCTTTAATGCGAAAGGAACTTCCAGAATGATGTCATAAGAAGATCGTGAGTTCCTGCATAAATTAAATAATCGAGTCCAAAATATCAGCAATCTAGCAAATGTGATTTTACAACAAGATAAGGTGGTAAGCAGATTGAGAATCCCCGCACAAATATATATATCGAGTGTAAAATATCAGCTATCTAGTTGGTCAATTGAGAAATCAATATTACCAATGCCAATCAATAATTAACGAAAATTCCTATATTTGTAAATATATTTCCAAAAATGGAATCTAATTAGAGGATTATTTATCTACTAACAATTATGACACGTATCATACTTTCGATATTTTATATATTCCTTCATATTATATGTATTTTTGCCTCATTATATTTTCTGTAAATGTATATGTATGTATAATATTATATATACAAAATCTCTACTAATAATTTCTTATAAATTAATATTCAGTATCTTACAAAAGAGTAATCTATCTTCATTTCAGCATATTCTCCAGGCGAAAAGTTACTCAAACTCAATATCTCAACGCTGGCTGAACGAGTAGAAGTTTTGTTAATCCACCCTTAAGCGAGTAAATCGAGAACGCGACAAAGTGCGTCTATTATACGACGGATAGTGAGGAAGCGACAAATGAGAAGACAAGGAATCTCAAAGGTGAGTCGAACGGCCTAAAACCATCTATTCCATACAATTTTCATGAATACTCCGTCATTCTCGTGGGTTTTGTTCGCGAACAACTGGTAAAGGAAGCATCGGGGTAAGGAGAATCGATGATACCGTCCCCTGCAGGAGCGACTTATCCGATTTGTCTGGAAGTAACCGGAGGTGAGAGCAAGAATCGCCTAGAGAATTGACGAAGCTACGATTCCCTAAGAAAACTTTTTCTTTGTGACAAACGCATCGCTCAGAAACATTTTTTTATTAAACAATTACAAACATTACTTTATAAAATCCTCATTGGAATTTACAATCATTTATTAGTATAAGCAGATAGTTCTGCTTATGATAAATAAATTTAGAGTGGCTACAAAAAGTATTTGTACATCATAGTATTTATTATAATACTTATGTACTGATTAATTAAGCCCAAGTATATAGAGTTTCCTATCATTTTGCAGTGACTACACATAATTAAAGAAGACACTATGAAAATGAAAAATATAAAACCTGACAAAAAAAAAAAACGCTTTATTAGAAAATAAAAGGTATGTACAAATACTTCTTGGAGCCATATCATATAATTTCATATGGAACTGTATGAACATAAGATTCCTTTTTTGAGATATTGAATACCAATTATGCGCATCTGATTTATGTGAAATTGATAAGTTTATAAGAAGTGGAGTTAGCCAATTTTGTTTCTGAAAGGCTCATTTTTCTGTAAACGTATATTTTGTGGATTAATTACATTTCAGAACGATTTAACGATTCAAATGAGGATGTGAAAGAATCTATTGACCTGGCTGTTTCTTTATTTTCAACTTATATCCCTAGGTCTATGCTATTTTAGAGTGGCACGTGAAGAAAGCGAGTAGTAATATTGGAAGCAACGAAATCGGGCAACGAGTCCGATTCGCAAGAATTCTAATAGCGTTCGAAGGTCGACCGAAAGCGGAAAAGTAGTTCGCCTAACGATCGATGGCGAGCTTTCCCGATAAAAAGACAACGAACGGACGATCCGTCGTTTACTCACACAAGATGGTTGCTATTGTCTTTCATGGATCATCAATTGTTTATTTTTTAACGACCATCAAGAATACCAAGGTATTTTTGAATCTCTAATGCCTCGAGGATCACGACTTTCATTCAGCAAATCTTGTAAATAATCGAATATTTTCCAGGCTTTTAATATGTTCTAACGGAGATCCAAATTATTCAATTCCTAACTCAAGGAATCTAATCTCCAGGAGAGTATCAGGAAAATCCTAAATTTCGAAAATAAGTCTCAAACATCGTAGACCAGAGAACCTTTCAAACTAAATTATTCGCAAGTACTCATTATTTATATGTAACACCGAGATTCTCGAGCAAACAGAGCAACAGAAATCTGACAACATCCTGGATATCTTAAGATAATAAACACAGTATACCGTAGGAAAAACCGGAGTATTCCCGGAAGTCTCGAAACAAACTATCAAGAGTCGAGACAACGATTTTCCATTTTCCGATCGGTATTTCCCTGAGTCGTCACCGACACGGGGACCGAACCGGAGGCGACACTTCCGGGAGATCAGCTTGTCACTGGGAGGAGTGCCAGTACGAGCTTGAAGGGATGAGAGAAAAGACGAAGAAGGAGGGCAAAGACCGTGTCGAGAAGGAGGTCACCCGGATTTCGAGCGGTCTTCTCTCTACTCACCAGAAAGCGAACCGTATCTCAAGGTAGCCCATCATTTTTCGTGGGAGGAGTTTTTGGCACGGCTGCCACCCCTTTTCCCTCCCGAGTTCCACCGAGTAATCGATCGAACCGCCAAGACTATGCTTTTACCACCTTCCCGATAGACGCCATCAAGAAAAACGCGCGATTACTCCGATCGTTTTTCGCTTCTCTAGAAACCTTCCAGCTCGCTGATCTCTGCGTAGCTTTCAACGATATTATTCCACTACCAAAACTGTATTCCAGATTGGTCGAAGCCAGAAATGGTAATATGAATTTGCATTTGATAGTCGAATACAGTATGTGAATTTCTTATTCAGGTGCAATTTTAAAGCGACTACATATGTAGTCTACAGTGGCGATGAAAAGAAAGTTTGAAGTGTGAAATAGAAGAGACGCTGTGATTTTACGAAACTGAATTATGATTGACGAGAAAATTGAACGTATAATATAATTGTTCGTTCTGAATAAGACGAGTTTTTGGTACAAAGAAATGTTCAATAGAAATTTTTCTTACACTCTTATGCACAAGTAGCACTGTTAAGCTTTCTCCTGTTCGCCGTATAAGATACCACAAAACATATTTATAATACAGTGGCTACAAAGAGTACTTGTATGTATTCTTATTTTCTAACAAAGTGTTTTTTTTATATCAGACTCCGTATTTTATTTTCATAGTATTAAATTTTTGTAATCATATGAAAGTATTAAATAGAACTAAATATACTTAATCAATCGATATATAGATGCTATAGTAAATACACTGCGATACAAGCGCATTTGTAACCATTGTATATATGTAAGTAGCTGTGACGCGAATGTTTGAGGTTAACCACTGAAATTACTTCCCAAAGAGGTTTCCCAGACTTTAACTCGAGAACCTTCCTCGTTAGTAATTTGAAGAGCTAGAAAGCATTACGCCAGTCTTATCTTCGAGTTCATCGACCTCGTCGCTTTTAATCTCTTTTGACAATGAGTGTAAAGGTACTCTGTCCTATAGAAAATTATACCACCTGCCATTCTCCTATAAAATTAACTATTCTCATCAAACAATCTTCCATGAGAAACTCTGTTCTCGTACACCCCAAGAACTCTTGCTAATCTTCCAATTTCTTAATCATACACGATCTCCTCATCAACCTAACCTCAAATTGCTACTCTATCGATTCTTCGTTCCAGCAGGTTACAATGATATAAAAAAAAACCATCCAACCTAATTGAATTCGCACCCTATGAGTACAATGTGAAGAGCAATTAAAGGGACGACAAAGTGGACAGGGAGGCTCTCTGAAAATGTTCACCTTCCTCAAAGAAATCGCACTGAAAGCGCAGAGAGGCCAAAAGACAAACGGAAGAGAGCCAGATGGCTGGCTGAACGTTGTAAAAGCTCGAGCAAAGGAATTGCTTTGACTTCGATCACGTTAGCCATGGACTAGCCATTTCCAGTACAACGTTCGAGAAGGACCGTGAAAGTTTTCGCCGAAATAGGAGAGATGTTCGACGCGTTCGAAGAAAGCAGGCGTTTCGTTTCAAAGGCGTCGCACGCCGATCGATCGACCTTCCTACCTTCCTTGAAACAGGAACGCGTTTTCGGGCTCACCTTGCACCTGCAAGAAGGCAAAGGGCAAGGGAGATTGATAGATCGATAGATGGGTGGGGATAGGGTGGAGAATTGGGATAGAAGCGGTGGTAATGAATGGAAATATTTCAGAATATTTCTGAACAGAGATATAAGGTGAAGACTATTGATATTAATGCGTCAGTTGCGTTTGGCTAATTATAGTAATTATTTCAACAATGTTAGCGATGCTAGTGGTGCATGCTCGCCGTTGCATGTTAAATATTCGTTAATCTATTAAGAAAAAAAGAGAAGAAACTGTGGTGCAGTGTATAGATACAGTAGCAGATGAAAGAAAGTTTAAAGCTGTTAAATAATTTATTTGCGTATACGCACGTATTAATAACTTTTATATTTGATACTTTCCACTATGTTGCTGGCAGTCTCATAGGTTATATGTATAGGGTATATATATATATATTTATTCACTACTCTTGACAAGTGCAATACTGTGTTTTAAAATTATCATATGTTTTTGTACCCGCACTTATACCTATTTAAACTTTCTCTTGCTCGCTATATATAGAGTAAGCTATAAATTCTCCTGCATTACGGTAGCAAGTTTGTTACTAAAACGAATGATGTATTTAGAAGTAAATGTTACAAGATGCGAGTTATAACCTGTAACTTGTCAATTCTCTAATATTATCAATTGGTAAATTTCTGTGCAACAGGATCCTAGTTTCGTTGCTTATCGTTCGAATCCCCTAAATCAGAGTCGATAAGTAAAACTCGATGCAAAAACGCTTCTGATAAAAAGAAACGTATCTTTCCTCGAGAAGGATGTAATCTCGGTAGCAGCGTAAGTATTAACCGAATCGTTATTCAATCAGAAACCTTTTCCAGAAATAAAATCAAGACTTACCAAAACGAATTATGTATTTTTAATAGAAATATAAACGATACACTGGAGGAACTGAGACACTCGGCTTAAACGAGTTACCGACAGAGTTAGTGAAGAGCGACCGAGTAATTGAAGGCACTTTGGTCAGCGACTTAACTTATTTCCCTCATTTAACGGATCGAAAGTACACAGACGAAAAGACGCATATACGAGCCAACTAAACAGAAGAGAAGAAACCACGTAAAGGTAGAGATACAGGAGATAAATTGTAAAAGAATAATTAAAAAGAAGATGTCGCCGCAACGAAAAACCGATTCCGATATCTGAGCAAACGAATACTTCCAAACAGGAAAAAACCGGTGAAACCCAGCATCGATATCTAAAACGCATCGAGGGAGGATCGTGTTTCTATTGTCAATCGGTCTTTCGTTCAATCGAACGATCACCGACAGGTGTTTTACATGAAAGCGTCTATAAAAAGCGAGAGAAAAAAAAGGGGGAAAGGGGAAGAGGCGAAACACAGAGGAAAAAAAGAAACAGCAGGTTGGCATGATACATGTACGTCGTACACGCGTACGTATATCGTATATAGGATCGAAAAGTTCGCAGCCCCTTGGTAAATTCGTAACGCGGAATGACGTCAGTGGTGAGCGCGCGCAAATGCCCCTGTTTCGCAATCCGCAAACGTCGTTTTCCGCGATTCGTGCCACGGGGGCACCGCTCGTAAAGCCATTTCGGCGATCTCGCGACATAAATTATAAAATCGACCGACGCCAGATCGTCTGTGCAATGGCCGGCATGTAGGACGACGCGGAGAAATCCGTTCGAGAATCGAGACATCGGATACTGCCTTCGTTTCCCCTACCACTTGCCCTACACCCACCGCGTTACATTCTAGGTCCATCGGACTGCGATTTATTTCGACTCGATTGATAATGGACTGTGGAACGTTCCTCGGTCGAGAACTCGCGAAAATAATTTACTACATTTTCCTTCTTAGTGGGGATCCTCCGGTTGATCGAGATAATCGTCGATGAAAGTACGTTAAATAGAATGGAACACTGGCAATTGTAGATAATCTTTGGAGATTAAGCGGAGGATGTGGTAGATCGGAGTCTGATATTGTTGAAAGATAAAGCGGTTTCCTTTGCTACGGAGTGCACCACTTTCTCCGCTTCTTTTAATAGCAGAATCATTTGAGTAGTTAGAACGAATAATTTAAATAACGACTTTTCAGGGAAATTTTATAAATTCGCAAGGGTGCGTCTCCGCAGATTTTCCCGATTTCTGGTAGATATATGGATGAAGACTTTTTCCCTTGTATTATGCACTGTTTTGCGCGTATTTCGTATTTATATTCGTTTGGAATTCTTTGACTACGAGTTTTGCGCTTGTACGTTATAGTACTTCCGCCACTTTGCTGTAGACGTTATAACGGTAATTTGTAATTACAGAGTTTGAAGAAACGAGTAGAAAGATCATCTAAATATTGGAGACACGGTGTGATATATTCGAAAGAACTTCAGATTATACTTGGTCGTAATTGAAGAAGATTGCCCTTTATCGGAAGAAGCGATCCTTTTCGATCTTTTTCCGCAATATAACTTCGAACAAAGCAAATTTCATTTATTTTTTTATTCGCTCGCAAAGGCAAATTACGATTTCCCAGGTAAGTTTGATATCGCCAGTTCCAATTTCTCGTAATGTCAGAGCAAAAAATGGGAAAAATTGTCCGCGATAACAAGAGTGGAATGAAATAAAGTTAAAGGATCCACGCGCTAAAAGCAAGCAGGATCGAGTAATTAATGCTGGGAATGAGAGAAGAGAGACAGTAGTGTAGCGAATAAGTTAGATACAACTAGACTGCGGATTTTTATGGATTTACGTGAAATTTGAAGCTGTAAAAATGTAAAAAAACGTACGTAATAAGCAACTGTATGTAAAATATTCAAAGTACAATTCTCCTCGCAATATTTAATAGAAAAAACAATTTTCAATCTAGGTTCCATTTGTTTAATTACGTCCATAAAATTATTTAGTAGTATGAGTATGAAATAGCGCTAACAGATATCACTAATTCCTATTTCTTGTAATTTCAGAACAAAAAATGGAAGAAATTATCCACGATGTTAAGGATGGAAAGACTCAGAGTTAAACGATCCACGCTGCAGGGGTAAGCAGGATCAAGAAACTGATGCTGGGGACAAAAAGAGAGAAACAGAAGGAGAATCGAGAGAAAGGCGGATGAACTCGTAGCGTGGAAGATCGTAGAGGCTTTGAACGGTTGAAAGGAAAGGCTAAACTCTCGGAAGAAGGATGAAGAATAGCATAAAGAGCAGGGTGAAAAAGCCAGCGCATAGATCGGTCATGTGGAACGTGCGAAATAGTATTCGGGCCATGAGGTAACAGGGAACGTATACGGTTTTCAATTTCCCACGAGAGGTCAAGCAAATTCATAACCCAATCTATCCGCAAACCGAGAGGAACAGCGGGACGCCGATGAATTCGATGATGCAACGCGATCTCCGCCCTGTGTTTATTATTTTTGATCGATACTTTTTCACTCTGATCGCGATTACTAACGATCCAGCCGAATACAGCATCCAGGAAAGCAGAGAAAAGAAGACATACCGAATTATATTTTATGAACAGAATCATCTACTGCGAGGCTTGTTTGAAAACAAAGAAGAGGAATAACTGGAAATTATAATTGGAATTTCAAGATGAGGGTTCTGATCTAAGACTGAGCGTTGAACGTAGGAAGAAGAATGCAGAAAAGATATATTCAATATTTTAAGAAGAATCTGCTAATCTTAGATTTAATCTTGCATGAGAAAAAGAATACACGAATTATATTATGGTATTCTAAAATGAAAGTGCTGATCTAAATGGAAAGATGCGAAGAGAAAGATCGTCAAAATAAAAGAAGGATCCTTTAAACCAAACAATTTTAAGGAGTAGAGCCTGATGCGGAATTAACCTAATATTAGAAAGGACAATCACACGATATATCACAATACTTTGCCAATATTCTGACATAGTCCAATCCATATCAGAAGAAAGCTACGTAAATCATATTAGGTTATTTCAAAAAAGGAATTCTCCAAAAATCCTTTGACTCAAACCCAACCCTGCTTACAATGCGATTTAGAGAGTCCAGAGTTTGTATTATTCTTATGACGTTATTGCATCTCGAGAAGAATCCAGTGGCTGCTAGCTGGTTCCAGTAATAATCTCATCACTCGTCCCTTGTCGCCACTTTACATAATTGGATGAACGATCTCTGTGCCACCGTAAGAAGATAAACTCTCTGCCTCGCTTAACGTTATTCACGATGCGGTGTTACGAATAAACAAAAAGAATTCCAAACGGGGAGATGCGTTTCTTCGTCAAAAAAGCTTCGACAGAGAATGGATCGAAGAATAGTATAGAGATGTCTAACGTCAAAGAGACGTGCAATGTTAACAGAGTATGTTAACTTTCAGGTAATTAGGTAAAACTGTCAGATAGAATTATTTAAACAAAGGATATGCAAAGCCGTGTAAAACGTAAATGAAGATGTAACCGGAAACCATCCAAAGCTGAAAGGCACTGGATCAGGAATAAATAATAATAGTACAGAGAACTACATCCATCCGTAAGTATCTGGATACTGACGTATTTCCGGATTTCACGTAAACTTCTATGAGTTCTTTGATTTCTTCTATGAGTTTATTACGTTGCCCTACAGTCCTGATGTTGCTCTTGGACAGTGTAAGCAATATTTATTAACAACTAATATCAGTTTTTGGAAGATGTGGAAAATATCGATTAAGAAACATATTGATAAACTTATTAGAAATATTGGTAAACGAAAAGGTACGCCGCTTTGCTCTCCTGTTTATCAATCTCAAGTGGTTAATTCCCACCCAAAGATATAGAAACACCGGACTCTGCAAGAAATAAACGTATTAAATAGACTGCACGGTGAAAAGCAAACAGATGGCAGGCAAGATCATGCGAAACCTCTGTTTTATCATCTAATAAACAGCGTAATAAATAACATCGACATTGCAGGACGACACGATAAATCTATAAAAGAAACTCAAGTAAGATATTCATGCGGAAATCTGCACTAAATATTCGAAGATAGTTAGGGGCGGAAGTATATGTAAAATACAAATTCCAGACGAAACGAGCGTCTTCGTTGGAAAAGCTGTGACAGACGATACATCAAAGAATAGTATGCTGGACTAGAAGATAAAAGAAGATACTGTCCCGTATCGGAAACGCACGAGAACATCGTTATCGGGTTGGCGAATCTGGCGACCTGTGAACCTGGCAGAAATCCAGAACCCGCGTCACTGCACCGGTGCGGTGAAAGAAAGCCCGCGACAAGGGCGATAATCATCGTAAACGTTGTCGAAATTGTCCTCTTTTGTCGACGAAACCTCGAATGAATCGAGAAGCAAAGCTCGACGCTTCTCTGACGTCAAGCAACTACAGTGGTTTTCAACGTTCGAATACGTAACGTGTCATACGAGGAGTAATTTTCGAAGAACGAGCAATTCGTTAATTAACGAGTCGTTCGGCCAATTTACACGCACGTACGAATTTTCCAATGAGAGAACAACGATTCGTGTGGGTAGACACATATCAGAGGTTGCGACGTTGATCACGTTGATTCCGTACGCAGGCTGTGCACCCTGGCGAGTACGCATTGTCCCGTAGCACGTCCTGCTCGTAGATCGATCCAGTCTTTGGTACACGAACGACGAGACTTCGTAGAGAGCAATGTGTTTAACACGTTGACCAGCACGCGAATTTTATATATTTCGTCCTGAGGGTCACGACATTTTGAAACATGCTACACCATAACGTTCAGTTTGTTGTAAAATATTATACAGTATTTGCTCATACTTTGCCGAGTGTTGCTGAGTCATTCACATCGTCGAAGATCTTTTTGTCCGTGAAATTTATCATGTTGTAGACGTTGTGTAAGTAAGCACCGGTGACCATCGCCGACAGTCAACGTGCTAATGGGATTCTGCTATTGAGGAGAACAAATTGACGATAACACGGGGTTGAAATTTGGTGTAAGCTGATCTTTGGAGAATTCCGAATTTTATAGATTGCATGCTTGAAACTGAAAACGACGAGCCACGGTGAAACTGGACTAAAGGTATTTCGATATTAAGATACTTATAGAGGAACTGAAATTCGACCGAGTCTGATCATTGGAAAATCCTAATTTTCTAGATTCTATGCTTGAAATTGTGTAATAGCAACCCTTTCTTGTCTGGGGATTTTTGAGATGAATTCGAAGATCCGGAATGAAAGAGGAATTCGTGAAATCGACGGGAATTTCGAGCCTCCTTGACCCTCGGTGACCCAAATATTTTCGCTCCTGACAGAGGCTGATGCAGAATTGCGGCAGACCCGTGGAAACGTTCGGTCGTTACCTTTTGTCCGCATCACCTTCAAAAGGATCGTTCTATCTCGCGATAGAATGACAAATCGTCGCCGACGTGTCTTTAATTCGTCAAAAGTTTCTTACGTCCGAT